GTCACGAAGTCAGTTAGCGAAGGGGCTGATTTGCACCCACCGTGGGGTTGGAGGGCTTATTTGCCACTTTTTTAGTTCAGGGGCTTGTCACCTGCTGTCGAAAAAGTTGAGGGTCTTAAGAAGGGTTTTTGCCTATTATTAATATCAAAATTTTCATCCTCTCAATCATTCCTCCATATCTTGAAAGTGTAGCTCAATCTATGATAACACTTAATTTTCGATTAGAAAACCATGCGTTAATGAAGCGGCGGGTGTGGTTTTGTCTCTCAAAACCAGTGGCTCTCTGCGTTCCACTCAGACTGCGCTGGCGCCGCCTTGCTCCGGTCTTCTTTCCAATCTCCCCTATATAAAACCAAACCCATTTCATTTCTGCAACTCAAAACACCAAATAAGCAAAACCCATCTTTATTGAAGATGAGTACAACAAAGGGTGCTTGGGCTGTAGCAGCGGCAATAGGAACGGTGGAAGCACTCAAGGATCAAGGGATTTGCCGGTGGAATTACACTTTCCGGTTTCTGCATCAGCGTGCCAAGAACAATTCCAGATCGTTTTCTCAGTCCAGGGCGCTGTCTTCTTCTCCGACTTCTTCAGGGTCTGTTCCTGAGATAGAGAAATCCGAGAAAACAATGAGAAAAGTAATGGATTTGAGCTGTTGGGGTCCTAGTACTGTTAGATTTTGACATTATTTTAGGTTGAATTATAGTAATTCTTTTCTTTCCATCTCCAATTTTGTAAGATATTTCCTTTGCCCTTTTTCCCAAAAAAAAAAAAAAATTGTAAGATATTCAGTCTGGAAACTTTATGAATAAGAATAACAATCTTATTGAAGTCAAATCATACACTACAAAGCAAAACGGATTATTACTTTTTCCTTTTCTTGGGTGCCTTTTGTAGCGTCGGATGGACCTCCCATTTTCCAAGAAAAAAAAGCTCAAACTGAGACCTCTAATTCGGGTCACAAGTGTTTCTCTTGAAAGCATCTCCTTTAGATACTGTCAAATTTTTAACTGATGCTTCAATTGAACGGCGCTGACATACTAGTAGTAGTAGACAAAAGTTTAATTTTGGTTAAACCTTTAATTTGGTCTTTCAATTATTAAACATATCTTTAAATTGATCTCTAAATTAAAAAAAAAATTTAATTTGATCTTTAAAATTTTTAAATTTACCTTCAAATTGTTTTTTTTTTGTTAAAAAACAATTGATTTATCCATTACTTAACTGCAAAAGGTCATTACATGATAACCACATGTCTTGTTGGTAATTGGACATGGCTGTTCGTTTATTAACAAAAAGATTAATTTAGAGTTAAATTTAAAACATTTAAGGATCAAATTAAAAAATTTTTTAGTTTAGAAACGAATTCACAAATCTATACAATAATTAAGGAACTAGCTAGTCATTTAACCTTTAATTTTCACTCTGTGAACTCAGAGTCGGTTAGTAATTTATGGGCACTTTTGTCTCTTTCCCTCTTAATGTCTAAGTTCAAACAAAGATCCATACAAGACAGGTGAAAGGTTATGGTATAGAAAATTCCAAGGGCTCCTCCATACTTTGCCCATGGTATTGCAGTCCTATTCAATCTCACTGGTCCCTGCACTCTCAGTATTCGGTTCCATCCCCATTTCACTCTATAAGAGAGATCCCGTTATCACCCCAAACCATCAGAAAGGCAAACTTATCTTACACTCATCATCTAATTTCATCAACATTTCTACAGTTTTTCAGTTGTATAGAGAGGGAAAACCAGAACTGAGAAGAACTAGTGTCAGATGAGTTCAACAACTAGAGCTTTGGTTATGGTAGCATTGCAAACATTGAAGGACTCAACTCAACAACATGCCAAGGCTAATATCAGAGCATATTCTCAGGGTCGAAAGCTTTCTGAGCCATCTTTCTCTGCCCTACCAAAGAAGCTGGGAGATGATAAGTTCAAGCAGTCTGATTCTGAGGAGACCCTTAGAAAAATTATGTACTTGAGCTGTTGGGGTCCTAATTAAACCCCTATATATTGTAATGCATAGGAATGCCAATTTTTACTTACAAATATGATCAAACTTCCTCTTCTTCAGTCCCTTCTTTTGGGTTGTTTAGTGAAATTTTATTTTGGACCAACATTTAATGAAAGATTTAACCATGAATTTCAAGGGTTCAAAAAGGACAACTTAAAACAGACACTAATAAACAGGAACTTGGTTTAGAACCCCCAAAAGCAGAAAATTTTTCCCTCAACTGTTGGTTAAACTGCCACTAGTTTTTCTACTAACCTCTCTCTGCTATATATAAGCACCTCTGCTTGTATTCATCTCCCCAGAGAGGCATTCTGACAAACAGTTCAAGGACTCTTTCTTTTCTCCATCTCTGCAACAAAAAAACAGAATGTGGCTGGTGGCTGCTGGCATTGGTGCGGTGGAGGCCTTGAAAGATCAAGGAGTATGCAGGTGGAATTATACCATAAGATCAGTTAATCAAAATGCCAAGAACAGGGTTCGATCTTTTGTTGAAGCCAAGATGCTCTCTTTTCTTCTTCTTCTTCTTCTTCATCACAATCATCCACGACAGCAATGAGAACAGAGATGGCAAGGTGGGATAGGAAGAGAGCAGACGCCGCCATGGAAAGGGTTGTGCAGCTGAGCTGTCGGGATCCTGGTACAATTAGATTTTAGTGCGAAGACTAGGACCTTGTGATCAATATTTTCTACTCTGGGTCTACTCTGTGTTTTTTGACTGTCCTCAACTTCGTTATTAAAGTTTCCAACTTGGACTTGATGAAGTGGGCGTTTACTATTTTGCTTTAAACTATTGAATTGCATTAATGATTCGTCTTCTTTTAACTGCATTAAAATTTTACGTTTCTTTTAAGGAGGTATCCCTAACAAACATGAATAAATTAAGAATTAGTCTACAATTACCTCACAATTTAATAGGTTAAATTCTTTATTTACATCTTATACATTATTTGTTTTCTAGTCAATATCTTCAAAAATTTTTATTTTGATCAATATTATTTATAATTTAAAATTTATAAAAAAAATTCAAAAATTAACAATTGAATCCCTTATTTGTATCTCAATTTTTTTTTGGTAATTTGAAGTTTTTTTTTTATATAAATTTTAAATTATAAAGGGTGTTAATTGAGAGTAACAATTATAAAAAATATTAATCATAAAAAATGTATAAAGTATAAATAAGGAATTTGACCAATTTAATGTTAAATAAAATATCTTACATTCGAATAAGATATTACATGAAAATTGAATAAGGACGAGTTAAATGTTCTCACTTCATTTTACATTATAATTATAGATGTTGTAACATTACCTAAGAAAATAAATTTAATTATAGAAGGGATTTGAATTTCTATCCTAATAATAAATTTTAATTTTATTGTTGATGATTTAATTTTAGTTAATTTTAATTAATAGTATTAAACTTGTTTGCTTAATTGATATAATATATTAAGAATTAAGTGACTCAGAAAGAATCTCATCTCACCCCAAAAGAAAAGAGTTTCAATTCATAAATATGCAAGTGAAATTAATAAAGATATATTAAAATATAATTATTTTATTGTGTAATTTAAAACAAATTAAAAAAAATTAAAATATCGGTAACGGGTTGGTTGGGCTCAAGATCAGCTCGGTCAAATTCAGGGGTCCTAGGCTTCTAGATTTATGAATTGGGCTTTGATTAGCCACACTTAGGGCCAGTTATAGATTAACTTTGCCGAAACTTAGGCCCACCCAGTCAAGACTTACTGATGAGGGTTTAGTCTGTCCAACTGAATGTTTTTGACTCTATTAGTCCCTTAATGTTGGAATAGGTCAAACATTCAATTTGGGCTGTACATAATGGGTTTAGGCTGACACCTATTAGCCCAAAATGAGGGAGCACCAGTACAAACATACCCACGTGAACAGCGCCACATGGACCAATGAGATGCTTATATGAACAGATGCATATCAGCACTTGGGGTTATAAATACCCCTCAACTACCTCCGATAAAGGTAATTAATCTCCACTTCTCTTTCTCTTTGCAATTACTCTTTGAGAGCATATCTCTTTAGAACATTGAGTATTGCTGATTTAAGCGTCGGAGTGTTTTCCCTGAGGAAACATTCTCGGGAATTTCAAGTGTGAAAGCAGCCAAAAACTTCAACAGTGTTGGATCGTGAAGCTGCTCAAACACTTAATATATAATTTGTGTATTTTAATCTATAAATTTTTATATTATTATTAT